TCACAATTTTACCAATATGATCATCTGAGGAAAAAAGTTGGAAATACTCAAGTTCAGATTTTGGCTCAGCACCTTGAGGAAAGGTGAATCCCTGTTGTGTGACAGCTTGCAGAAACTTTACAAGATTACTGTTACATCAAGATAAACCTTCCAGCTACTTGTTACAGATTGTGTATTACCAGCTTCAGAGTCACTGGGACTAATATCACTGCATACAGGAAGCTTCTTCCTGCTCACTTTCATCACTAAACTCTCCTACCCCACTGTCCTCAAAATTCCCTAGTTGTAATATCCTCAAGTATACGCCTTTTGCCATTTTTCTACAAGCACAACAGAGTGAATACGATGCCCAATAATTGTTCACAACACATGGCCTGCCGACAAACAAAAAGAGTACAACCTACCTAACCTACCTAACCTACCTGTTGGCTACGGTCTGTATGTACTACATGAGAAAACGCACTCCAACAGTGGAGCTGGTGAACAAACACACACACACAAATGTGTAGGACATCTTCCAACAGTGCATCAGAACAAGAAGAGCATTATGTCTGACCAGGGCCGACATAGGATCTGAGAACAGATATTTATTTAAAACACAGAAATACTAAAAAATATCATTTAATGTCATGCAAAAGATGCTGGTTTATTATTGAATATCAATAAGTGTAACTGATGTAAAGATTTAAAAAAATTAAGCCAAATGAAGCTGATTTATACTGCAATATAGGTAAAATAATCAAATGTATTGTGTCCATCCTAGTCAAGCAGACCTACAAGTCACCAAAGAGCAAGTGTAGTCCAAATTACCAACAGGGGGAAGGTTTTGTCAAGACCTACTTGCCTGCACTTTTCCAAGCGTCTCTTTTTTATCTGTCTAGTCAGTCCGTCTCTTTAGATGAGAAACAGAGGCAAATTATTAAATGATGGGTCACAATGATTTGGGATCACAATGCGTCACCGAGTGTACCAATAGCCTGTTCTGCTCCGTGAGGAAAGGAGCAAATGTGAGCTGAACACGGACGCGAACCTGCGACCCCAGCACAGAGTGCTTTGCACAGCCTGGCCCCTTGTGGGCGCCCCGTATTTGCTCTTTCCCTAACGTTGTGCCGCCTGCCCCTTGCAATTTGGCTTCTCCCTCCCCACCCCAGACCGGCTCTGCAGTGATTGCGGACTGGAGCCTCAGAAAGCATTTGGTTCAAACTCCCTGCACTAGAGGCGACCCAGGGTTTTCCTCTGCAGCCAAGGTTTGGGGACAGGCGAGTCCCGCCGCAGGTGGCGGCCCCAGGGCGGCACTGCCCACGGCCGGCTGGCCATTCCGCGCCGGGCTCGCGCCAGAGCAAGGGCGAGCGCGGTCCCAGGGCCGGAGCAGTCGGATTGCCCGGGCCGTTACCGGTCCGTGCAGTCAGGGCCTCCTCCACGCTCCTCCATGGCTGGGAAGAGGAAACTGTGTTGCTTATGGACCTTAGGTCTGTGTCTGGTAGCCAGTAAATCGTCCAAAATCCCATCCATCCACGACCCGTGGTTTATAGACCAATGCGTCAGGGCTCACAATGAATGGCGTAGCGAGGTCAACCCCCCTGCCGCGGACATGAAATACATGGTGAGAAAGCACCCGCCGGGCTCTTAGATCTCTGGTTCATCCTAAGGTACCTGGGCGACATAGTTCATGGTCTTATTCATACTATTTCAGTCTGGACTTAATGCATGCAGTTTATTTACAAATGACGCTTTGGCTGCCTGTGTCCTCCAAGGTAGAGATAGAAGTGGAGGAAAAGGGAAATCTGAAGCTGTTGTTGCCTGGGACTTAGTGCCCCGCAGGAGGAAGGGTGGGTGGGGGTGAGGACAGAAGGCGGGTGGAGCGGGTGGTGTTTGGAAGTTGTCTGGTTTTCTGCCACTATGGTTTATATGCACAGGGTTGTTGATCCTCGCCCCTCTCGCCCACTTTTTGGCTAGCGCTTCCCATCCCTTGCACCTAAGATACTAGATATCAAAGAAATAGCACAGGGTTAGAGACTCTCTTGTTTTCTTATTTTTATGTCATATGAACCCCAAGTTAAAACAACACTTCTTGCGTTATGTTCATCTGGGGGAAAATAAAGCTCTATAAAGATGTCAATAATGAAATCAGTGCTTGAAAAATATCAGATAGACGGTAAGGCAAAAGAGTGTTCTATTAAAGAATAAGCATAAAGAGCACCGGGTTATTAAAATAATCCATAGGATTTACAAAACTTTTAACAAATTCTTGACTGTGAATTGTATTACTGGAAATGTCTATTGCATTATAACTTTTTCTTGCTTGTAAATACGTCATTATGAATATCAATTTTGATAGTTTTAGTGCCATGTGGATGTAGGTAACATTGTAACTCATATCTATTCCAACTTTCTTCCTTTCTACCTGACAGAAAATAAAATGGAATTATAAAATTACAACTCAGCCACATTAAAGTTTAGAATTGCACCATTTGACTGTATGGGAAAATGCTATTTTGAGGGGAAAGGAGTTTCCAACAGGTTCAAAAGTAAAACAAAAATAAACTTACCTCTTTAATGCAGAAGTCTTAAAATACTTTAATATATTCATGATAATAAATATTTTGATATCTTAATCTTTTCAACAGGTTGGCAGGGTCCAGGGCATGAATGAACTAGAAATAAATTTTATTTTATCTTATTTTTTTTAAGACAAAGTCTCACGAGCCCTGGCACCACAGCTCACAGCAACCTCAGCCTCCCCGGCTTAAGCAATCTTCTTGCCTCAGTCTCCCAAGTAGCTGGAACTACAGGTGCCCGCCACAAAACCTGGCTTTTTTGTTGTTATTTTTATTTTCATCATTGTTGTTTAAGCAGGCCGTGGCCAGCTTACACAACACCAGCTCTGGTGCATGTGGCCGGTGCACCGAACCTAGAAATAATTTTTAAACTGAATTCATACATGCTGATACTGGTGACATATTTTGAAAGAACTTTATTGCATATTGTATGATAAAACAGTAATTGTGGGGTGATGTATAATAATTTTTTTCCATTTTTCTTTTATAGTATTGGCTACTTAAAAAATGTAATAATATATTGAGGGATTTATAATGAAGTAGAAGCAAAATATACTACAATCAGAACACAAAGAATGAAATGAGGGGTAAATAGAATTATTCTGTTGAAAGCTCCTGGAGAAGTTAAGAGTGCACCATTTAGAATGCACTAAAAGAGAAAAAGAGACCTAAAAATTCAACAAGTAGAATACTAAAAATGTCCTTGATTCATTTTTGGAAGAAAATCAGGAACAAGGAATAAAGGAACAAAGGACTGAGGGGATCAACAGAAAATAGCAAATGGCAGACTAAAAATTTACCATGTTAGAATTCTATTAAACACAAGTAACTAAACACTTCAGTTAAAAGCAGAGCTTATCAAACTGGATTAATGGTTTTTGTAACAGAAACAGATCATACACAGGATCAAAGTAAAAGAAAGGAAAAATATATTATGTAAACTCTAAGTAATTAAGGTAGAGTAGTTATATCTGACAAGGTAGATTTTCAGACAAGAAGTATCACTAGAAATAAAAGGGGAGGCTGGAATGATGGTTCGTGCCTGTAATCCTAGCACTTTGGGTGGCTGAGGTGAGAGAACTGTTTGAGGCCAGAGGAGTTCACGACCAACCTGGGCAGTAGTGAGATGCCACCTCTACAAAAAATTAAATGAAATAGAAGGGACATTTTGGAATGATAAAAGGTCCAGTTTTACAAAAACTACAAGAGTATTTAATGCAAATAAATTAATAACTTTTTTTTTGAGACAGTCTGACTTTGTCACCCTGGGTAGAGTGCTCTGGAGTCATAGCTCACAGCAACCTCAAATTATTGTGCTCAAGGGAGTCTCTTTACCCGAGCCTCTCAAGTAGCTGGAACTACAGGTGCCCGGCTATTTTTAGAGACAGGGTGTCTCTGATGCTCAGGATGGTCTCCAGCCATGAGCTCAGGCAATCTGTCTGTATCCCGGTACCCAGAGTGCTAGGATTACAGGCATGAGCCACTGTGCCCAGCTTGTAACAACGTATTTTATTACAAAAGTTGGCAAAAGTAAAGAGAGACAAAATCGTCATAGGGATTTTAACCTTAGTGAATGAGAGAACAAGTAGGTAAAAATACAGAAGATTTGAACAACACTAACGATTTTACCTAATTGATAGTAAACACTAGCCACCTTTGCAGAATACAAACTCCTATCAAGTGTGCAGGGGACATTCATTATTATAACTATATAATGAACCATACAACAATCTCAATAAGTTTAAAATTATTGAAATTTTATTCTTTATTTTTCTGGAAAAAACCTAGAATTAAACCAGAACTAAAATGTGTAAAATCTTCTGAAATGTGAAATTAAGCATATTTCAAAAGCTCACGAATTAAAAAGATAACTGTAGGGCGGCGCCTGTGGCTCAGTGGCCACCAGTCCCATATACGTAGGGTGGCAGGTTCAAACCCGGCCCCAGCCAAACTGCAACAAAAAAATAGCCGGGTGTTGTGGTGGGCACCTGTAGCCCCAGCTACTCAGGAGGCTGAGGCAAGAGAATTGCCTAAGTTCAGGAGTTGGAGGTTGTGAGCTGGGTGATGCCA